CGTGCGTGCCCAAGATCCCGAGAGGAGAATGGAGAAAGGATTGTGGCGTGGCCATCCCCCCTGGGGAGTGATTTCTCGCTTTCTGTCTCTCTGTCTCTCTCTGTCTGGCGAGCGCACGCGCCCTATAGCAATAATCTTGCCAATAAATAAATAAATAAATAGAAATAAGGGATTAAAATGGGGGCCAGCTCCATAGTCTGATGCTGAGGCAGTCCAGTGGGTAAAATGCCAGGTGCCTGAGTGTGTGCACCCAAAATCCTAAGAGCAGGGAGAGATGGAGAAGAGATTGCAGCATGGCAATCCCCCTGGGGGTGGGGGTGCTTTCTCTTTTCTCTTATCTCTGTCTCTCTCTGGCAAGTACATGTGCCCTCTAGCAGAAAATAAACAAAAAGTTGGTTAAAATAGGGGCTGGCCAGGGCCAGCGGGTGGTGCAGTGGTTCAGGCACTGGACTCCGACATGGCTGACTACAGTTCGAGTCTCAGGTCTGATGGCTTGGAACTCACGCTGGGCCCAGTCCCGAGAGGACAATGGAGAAGGGACTGCGGTATGGCCATCCCTCCTGCGGGTCATTGCTCACTTTCTCTCTCTCTGGAAGCACATGTGCCCTATAGCAAAAATCTCTAAAAAAAATTGGGGCTGGCCCATGGCCTAGTGGTTAAGAGAGCCAGATCCCACTTCTGACTGCACAGTTTGAACTGGTTCTGGCAGCCTGAAGAACACGCTGGGCATGTGCGCATGTTTGCTTCGAATCCTGACAGGGTAGGAAAGTGAAGGAGAAGGGATTGCATTGTAACCACACCCCTCTTTGGGTGTGTGTGTGGAGGTGTGTCTTCTTCTCCCTCTGTGTCTGTCTCTAGTGAGCCACTCTCTGACATGCATGTATGCATACATAAGCAAATGTTACAATGGGAACTGTTGTTATATACTATTTCACCCTTACAAAAGAATTATGGTAGGCCAGCACGTGGTATGGTGGTTAGGGCTCTGGACTCCTGCATGGCCGACTGCTGTTCTAGTCCCAGACCTGGTGGCTATTTCCCCACTTTCCTTTTCTCTCTGTGTTTTTCTGGTGAGTGCATATGCCAGCAGGTGGCATGGTAGTTAAAGTGCTAGACTCCCACATGGTTGATTGTGGTTCAGTTCCCAGACCTGGCAGCTTCAAAATCACACTGGGTACATGTGTATGCATGCCCCAAATCCCCAGAGAATGGAGGACAAGGGATTGTGGTGTGGCTGTCCCCCATAGGGGATGATTTCTCACTTTCCCTCTCACTGTCTCTCTCTCTCTCTCTTTTTCTAGCAAGCGCACAGACCCTATGGCAAAACCTTAAAAAAAAAAAAAAATCACGGTGGCCAGCCAAGTAGTATGGTGATTAAGATGACTGGATCCAACATGGCTGACTGGGTGGTTTGAGTCCCAAACTCGGCAGCTTGAAAAAATAGCTGGGTAAATATGTGTGCATACCCAAAATACTGAGAGATGCGTGTGGCATGCCATGGTCATTTCTCATGGTGATGCTTTCTCTCTTTCTCCCTCTCTGTCTCTCCCCAGTGAGTACGCACACTCTCCAGCAAATTCAAAAGAAAAGGAAGAAGAACCATGGGCCAGCCAGTGGCGTGCTGGTTAAGGCAGCTGGATCCTGCATGACTGGCTATGCCACTGGATTCTTGGACTTGGTGGTTTGAGAAATGTGCCAGGTGAGTGTGTGAATACTCAAAATCCTTAGGAGAATAGAGAAGGGATTATGGTGTGGCCATTCAGGGCTGCTTTCTCACTTTCCCTCTCTCTCTTCTGCCTCTCTCTGGTGAGCACACTGCCCGATAACAAGTAAAAACAACAATCACGACCTGTCATAGCCCTGCTGAAAACATGAAATGGCAGGGATGGCAGATGGCATACCATTTATGTCACTGGATACGTGTACATGTGAGCCCAGGATCCCAGCAGAATGGAAGAGAAGGGAATGCTTGGCCATCCCCTCCAGGGGTGACTTTTCACTTGCCCTCTGTCTTATCTTTCTCCCACTAGTGGATGCACCTTAAGGCAAAACAAACAAACAGACTAGATGGGTTCTTTTGTGACTGTTAGAAGTCCCATCCTTTCCAGGAGAGTTTCCCCCCTTCATTCCACATGTGTGACTGAGTATATCTGTGCCTAACTTCGTCCTCCATAAAATAGGGTTAAGGCCTGCTACATAATCCGGGTGAAGTTTGCATCAGCCTTTGGTGCAGTACACACAGGAGGGTTTGCGCTGGAGCCCAACACAGGCTGGCACTGTCTGCATAAGCCACTCTTGTCATCTTACTGCCTTGGCATCTGCCTCATGTTTGTCCCAGATCTTGGCAGGGCCACTCTTTCTCGTCTTTCAGCTCAATGTCACCACCTCAGGGGAGCTTTCTTGGGCTCCCCAGATTAAGGCCTCCTGTGCTCCTCTTCCTTAGAGGGCCTTGCTCATTCGCTGTATTTCCTG